TCTCCCGCTCTCCCTCCTGCTGCTTCTCCTTCTCCCGCTGCTTCCCCTGCTCTTCCCCCCGTTCCTCCTCCCGCTCCTTCTCCCGCTCGTCCTTCGCCCGCTCTCCTTCCTGCTGCTTCTCCTTCTACCGCTGCTTCCTGCTCTTTCCCCCGTTCCTCCTCCCGCTCCTCTCGCTCGTCCTCGTGCTCCTCCCGCTTCTCCTCCTCCACCTATATCTCCCCCCCCTCCTCCGCCGCCCGCGCGTTCGTTAACCCCCTCCCCGTTTCCCCTCTCGCTCCTCCTCCCGCTCCTTCTACCGCCCCTCCTCCCGCGCCTCCTCCGCCCCTTCCATTTCTCCTCGTGCTCCTTCTCCCGCTCCCGCTCGTCCTACCGCCCGTCCTCCCGCGCCTCCTCCGCCCCTTCCCGTTTCTCCTCGTGCTCCTCCTCCCGCTGCTCACTATCTTCTTACTTGGGCGTTGCTTTCCTGTTCTGACTGTGCTCACACGGGAGACGTTGCACATGAATCTACCTCCCATTGCATGCAACATTCAGTCCGAGAAGTTATTTTGCATATACCTCGAGAACCCTGGTAGTAACGCTTTTGTTTTGCTCTTCTTTTCCATTCTGCACTGCATCAAAGTGCTCCGCAGTCTGGCACGTCCGTTTTTTTAGTGTTCAAACACTATAGCTCACACTGGGCCAAGCGGCATCACTCACCCAATGCGAAACGGCAAAAGCTATGGCAGGTGAGTCTTTTTCCACATTCCAATGCAAAAATCATTCCCCATTTTACACGTGTTTAGTTCAGTGATGCCCATTTTCTCTTCGGCGGTCGTCACGTGGTTTTGCATTCTTACGGGCRTGTGGAAGACAGCGGGCTACTCCCTTTGCAGTACTGTTCAAACTTGGTCCCTTGGAATAGTATTCGGAGCACCTCTCTCTCTCTCTCTCTCTCTCTCTCTCTCTCTCTCTCTCTCTCTCTCTCTCTCTCTCTCTCTCTCTCTCTCTCTCTCTCTCTCTCTCTC